AGCCGGCATTGTCCGTAGACACTTCCTAGGTCATGTGGCCAGTATGACTGCATGGAGTGCCGTTACCTTCCCGCAGAAGCAGTACCTATTGATCTACTCACATTTGCATGTTTTCAAACTGCTGCATTGGCAGAAGCTGGACCTAAAAGCAGAGCTCAACCCACTCCCTGGATTTGAACTGCCAACCTTTCGGTCAGCAAGTTCAGCAGCACAGTGGTTTAACCCACTTCACCAGCAGGGAACCCTTTTAAAAATAAGTTTAAAGCTTCTAAAATGTAGATAAAACACAGAATAGACTTACTGCTCCACTGGAATAGGACCATTAGCTATCACAAGTGATCCTGTTGTTTCTGGAGAGCTGATGATACTGAAGTGGAAAGGAAGCAAATCATAGGCTCCTCAGTCTCGTGTAGTACAGTACTGCTCATATTTTGTGGGAGAGAAGAGTCTAGAACAGTGAAGAGCAGAAATGGTGCAAAAGAACAATAGCAACTCAAGTACAGGCAGTTCACTGAGTTACAAACATCTGACTTACAAATGACTCACAATTACAAATGAGGACAAGACAACAAGAAGTGAGAGAAATGTACTCCTTGGAAGGAAAATTCACTACTGAAAGAGTTCTCATGGGGAAAGTTGGTCTCCAATGAAGTTTTATCACCAATCCTTGTTTCCACAACAAGCCCTTTTTTCGAAATCCAGTGATCACAGGGACAAAAAGTGTGGTGAAATCTTTTGAGCAGGAGCACAGGCAGCAAACTAACCAGCAGAGGGGTGTTAATCCTTCCCTATGCCATCTGAAGCTTATATGGCTGGTGCTAAACTTTTTAAAATGTACCTATTCTGACTTACATACAAATTCAAATGAAGAACAAACCTACAGAACCTATTTAGTTCATAACTTGGGGACTGCCTGTATTGTCCTCTCAAATGAAAGAGCTGTGTTATTAGTTTGAAGTTTAATTTATTGAAGAGCCAAATTTCTTGTTGACATTAGTGCACTCCTAAACCTTTTATTTGGAAAAGGCTGTAACTCATTTTGGTATAAGTAGAACCAATTCGCTTCTGCACATATTTTATTTACTCATTTTACATCACTCTGTTCTCTCTCTTTGTGTGTATGTATGTGTGTGTGTGTGGGGGGGGGGGGTAGGCTGCATTATCTTGTCATGGTCATACACAATGGCAACTTATCTTTATGAAAGCCTTCCATTAAAACTTACATTCCTTGATAGGAAATAACTCCACTTAGGCAGAAAAAACAAAATGCAAAGATACAGAATGGGAGGGGCCTGGCTCGAGAGCAGTATGTATGAAAAAGATCTTGGAGTCCTCGTGGACAACAAGTTAAACATGAGCCAACAATGTGATGTGGAAGTAAAAAAAGCCAATGGGATCTTGGTCTGCATCAATAGGAGCATAGTGTCCAGATCTAGGGAAGCAATGCTACCCCTCTATTCTGCCTTGGCTAGACCACACCTTGAATACTGTTTCCAATTATGGGCACCACAATTGAAGAAAGATATTGACAAGCTGGGATGTGTCCAGAGGAGGGCGACTAAAATGATCAAGAGTCTGGAGAACAAGCGCTATGAGGAGCAGCTTAAGGAGCTGGGCATGTTTAGCCTGAAGAAGACTGAGAGGAGATATGATAGCCATGTATAAATATGTGAGATGAAGTCACAGGGAGGAGGGAGCAAACTTGTTTTCTGCTTCCCTGGAGACTAGGACGCGGAACAATGGCTTCAAACTGCAAGAAAGAAGATTCCATCTGAACATGAGGAAGAACTTCCTGTGAGAGCTGTTCAGCAGTGGAACTCTCTGCTCCAGAGTGTGGTGGAGGCTCTTTCTTTGGAAGCTTTTAAACAGAGGCTGGATGGTCATCTGTCGGGGGTGCTTTGAATGCAATATTCCTGCTTCTTGGCAGGGGTTTGGACTGGATGGCCCATGAGGTCTCTTCCAACTCTTTGATTCTATGATTCTATGATTCTAAACCTGAAGGCACAATACCATAGCTCAACTATATGCCCATCAGAGAGAAAACTGTAAGAGAAACTGAAGAGCTGGTGATCTTTAGATTAAAATGTGAAAATCTTCATAGCAAGCCTCTGTGTTTACTGTATGAATCAGAATTAAGTGACATTGCTAAATTTGGGGCAAATCAGATAGAAATTAAGTTAATATTTCATCTCTCATGTATGATATGTATTCAGTCTGACTAAAAAAGCCCACCTTTGCTTCAGCTGGAAGCATTGAAACCATTATAATGCACAAGCACACACATCTCTGCACAAGGGAAAGCCAGGAGGAGGAGGCCTGAGGGAAACACCACGTGTCATTGTCTTCTTTCTACAGGCAAGATATTATTTCCAGAAACCAGGGATAGGGAGCTCCTTCAACCCAACATGCCTTGTTCAAATTCCCTCCAGTCAATGAAAGGATGAGAATCTGTGGGTTTTTGTTCTGGACAATTGCCACAGATTTGGATGGAAGATTAAATGAAGAAGGAACATCTGTGACTTGAGAGGCTACACAAATGTGGACAGCAGCTTCCTTTCTTGTGTCCTTCCTTCCAACCATCCTTCCTTTCTATTTTGTTGTCCCTGAAGCACTAGAGAGCAGCACATATTATTAATAAAAGTAATTGTTACCAGCTGTTACTTTTTTCCCAGGTCAAAAGGTTCATGAATGGAAGCTTCAGCACTGCATTCAGACTGTGCTGAAAATGGTTAATTTTGTCTAGAAAAAGAGGAACTCCATATTGTATTACAAAGTTTTTGATATATAAGCATATACAAATCCTAACATCCCAATCATCACCACCAGGGAACATCTGAATTAAAAACATAACAACATAAAAACAACAACAGTCTTATTTCTTGCCCAGCTCTCCTAACAGCTCAAGTCAGGTTACAGCATTACTAAAACATACACAAATGCACACTCATTTAAAAACCTATAAAACAATGTTGACACTGAAATACAACACCACCTGAGCTCTGCGAGTGCAGAATTTTTTTCCAAATGAAGCAGAGAGTGTTTGAAGATCAGGACATCCATAGGGATACCAACGTGTTTGTTTATAAAGCTATTGTCCTCCCAACCCTGCAATATGCCTGCAAAACGTGGACCATCCAGAAACATCACACTCAACTCCTGGAATGATTCTATCAGTGTTGCCTCCAAAAAATCCTACAAATCTCTTGGGAAGACAGGAGGACAAATGTCAGCATGCTGGAAGCAGCAAAGATCGCCACCTTGAAGTGATGCTCCTATGACATCAACTCTGCTGAACTGGCTACGTTGTCCAAATGCCTGGTCACCATCTCCCAAAACAGTTACTATACTCCCAACTCAAGAATGGAGAATGGAATGTGGGTGGACAGGAAAAGAGATTTAAAGCTAAGCTTAAAAACTGTGGCATAAACACTGAGAACGAAGAAGCCCTGGTTCTTGAGCGCTCTTATTGGAGTGCTCTAAGGAGCCATTGTGATGCAATGGGTTAAACTCTTGTGCTGGCTCATCTGGTGACCTGAAGATCTGAAGGTCGGTGGTTCAAATCAGCAAGATGATGTGATTTCCCATCTGTCAGCCCCAGTTTCCCATGCAGGGACATGATAAAAGCCTCCCTCAAGATAGTAACACATCCTGGCATCCCCTGGGCAACATCCCTGGTATATTCTCAAGTTGCTTCTGGAACAATAAAAAACTGGAGGTCAGCTGTGACCAGCAGTGCTTTAAAATTTGAAGAGGCACAAATGGAGGGTGAAAGAAAGAAATGTGCCAATAGGAAGGTGCATCAAGCCAATCTTGTCCAGGACTGCCTTCCACATGGAAACTGATGCCCTCACTGTGGAATAACACGCGGATCAAGAATAGGGCTCTATAGTCACTTGGAAGTCCATCATACTCAGACATCGAGGAATCGCCTAAGTAAGTAAAACTATAATATCCTATAAAACTCTTCCTTTAAACACAGACCTGAAATTGCAAATGAAATAGATGTGAGACATTGAGACATTTGCATTTTTCGCTTGCAGAGAATCTTGCAGGGTGAGAAAGAATCCAAAATGAAATTGAATGTGCACCCATTTGTTTGCCCCAGGTGTCCAAAAGTCTTCTGTGTGCCCAGGGAAGTCTCTCATTTTGGATCAGCCATGCCTTGAGGTTCCAGGTTTTTTATTGCCACTTTTGGTCTCTCACTTGCTGAGGTGTTATTGCAAGTATCTCTGTAGATCATAGAAAACTATTTCTTTATTTAAGACATTGGCCTGTTGGCTGATATCTGAACAGAGAATGGGCCGGAGTTGTCACTTTCATTATTGGCTGCTACTTCCTGGTGGATGTCAGGTGGTGCAATACCAGCTAAACAGTACAATTTCTCCAGCAGTGTGGAGTGTAGACATCCTGTGATAATGTAGTATGTCTCATTAAGAGCCACATTCACTGCTTTATCCACTGCTGTATCAGCCATGGCTTGAGGCTCTGATTTTTCGCCTGCCATTTTTGGACTCTTGTTTGCTAAGATGTTCTTGCGAGTTTCTCTGTAGATCTTAGAAAACTATTTCTTTATTTTAGACATTGGCCTGTTGGCTGATATCTGAATAGGCGGTGGCCTGGAGATGTTACTGCCTTGGTCCTTTCACTGTTGGCTATTACTTCCTGGCAGATGTCAGGTGGTATAATACCAGCTAAACCGTATAATTTCTCCAGCGGTGTGGGGCATAGACATCCTGTGATAATGTGGCATGTCTCATTAAGAGCCACATCCACTGTTTTAGTGTGGTGAGATGCATTCGATATCCACACTGGGCATGCGTACTCAGCAGGAGAGAAGCAAAGAGCAAGGGCAGATGTCTTCACTGTGTCTGGTTGTGATCCCCAGGTTGTGCCAGTCAGCTTTCCTATGATATTGTTTCTAGTGCCCACTTTTTGCTTGACCTTCTAGTATCCACTTTTTGCTTGAGAAAGAAGGGTGGCAGAGGAGGAGGAAAAGGAGGAAGAGGTGAGATGGTTCCAAAGAAGAGGAGGAGCTGAGCTTCCCTAAAGGTGGCGTTGGATCTTGTTTTAAAGGAGCCTGGCAGATGAATAAAACGCAGGGATGGGGGAGGGCTGCAAGGCTGGCTTGCTGTGAGTTTTCCGGGCTGTGTGGCCATGTTGCAGAAGCATTCTCTCCTGACGCTGCAAGGCTGCCTCCAAAGCCAAGAAGCCTCTTGATTGGCGCCTCCTTCGCAGCCTCTGGCAAGCTGACTAATAACACAAACCCAGCTAACAAGGGAAGGCGCAAAGAGAAGCAGGGGGGGAGCGCACGCCTGGCAGCAGCTTGGAGCCTCAAAAAGAAAAGACGAGGACTGAGGAGGGAAGGAGGGAAGGAGGGAAGGAGGGAGATCTGCGTTTCTTGCCCATCCAGGAGTGGGGTTTCCCTCCCCTCCCCTTCTTCCCCTTTTCTGCCCTGCTGCTTCCTTTGCTTGGTTCCAAAGCCCGCAAATGGTTAAGTCAGCCTGAGAGGCGAAGTCTGCCCTGAATTTTAATCGAGGAGGGATCCCTGCTTGGCAGGATGGTGTAGGGGGGCTCTTCAGCTTCCTCCTCTCCTTTTTGTTTCGTCCCCACTCGCCAGATCTTTCTCCCCGTCCCTCTCGCCTCTCTTTCTGCCTCTCCTTCTTGTCAACTATTCCTCTGAGCCAGGATTTCCAACTTCAAGGCACTGCAGCCCAGCGTTGGAACCTCCCCTCCTTTGCCAAGTGACTCGAACCCAGAAGAAGAGGGAAAAGAAACCCCCCGGGAAAGTGTCCGCCTGGGGATAGATCCCAACAGCCAGCAAGCCACGGGATTGTACTTGAACAGCTCCTTTCGGTGCATTCCCGCTTTTGTCAGTGGGTGTAGCTGCTGCACAGGTAAGCCGACTTTGACGCAGGCAAGGAACTTGTGCCTCTCTCCCGTTTCTTTCCGGAGCGCCCCATAGGTCTGGCTCGTGTCCCACCCACCCCTCTCCGCCCTCCCTGCCCTCCCCGAGCTCCTCTTCCCGGCTCCTCGACGGCAGAGCTTGGCTTGGAACCGACACAATGACACCTCCTCCTCCTCCTCCTCCCATATTGCCTGTCTCGCCTGGAGGTGCCTTTGGCTCGGGAGCCTTTTCGAAGACTTCACCTGGCAGGCTTGGGGCTTAGGGCTTGGACGCCTTGGCCAAAGAGACGCCTGGAAAGGGGAATCTCCTTTTGAAAGTATCTCTGCATGTTTTTCCTCAACGCCAATTAATCAATCGCCTGCAACCTATTGACAAGTGAGAGGAGCTCCTCTCAGGTATTATGCGGGCGATCCTATCTTAACCTGAGGCTCTGGACTTCGCCAGGATCCTGTCTCTAGAAGGCTCAGGGAAACCAGAAAGGTATTTGATTATTTTGTGTGCTTACAAGAAAGGATTGATGGCTTTCTTTTCCATGCAAACTTCGCCTTAGGGACCGTCAGGGAGCTCCCCTAAAAGTGCAACATGGAGGCAAATAGCAAATAGGACTCACTCTTGATGTCTTCATCCATTCTTCCTCCCCTGCTCAGACCTGAAGGTAGTACTCGTTTGGGGAAATGAGTTGCTGTGAGTTTTAATAGAATAATGATGATGATGATGATGATGATGATGATGATGTACTTTGGGTTGCTATGAGTTTTAATAATAATAATAATAATGATAATAATAATAATAATAATAATGTGTTGTTGTAGGTTGTTGTAGGTCTGACCTAACCTCAGGAGAGAATGCTTCTAGAACATGGCCATATAGCCTGATAAATCTACAACAACCCAGTGATTCCGGCCATGAAAGCCTTTGACAATACAATAATAATAGTAATAATTATTATAATTATATACTTTGGGCTGCTGTGAGTTTTAATAATAATAATAATAATAATAATAACAACAACAATAATAATTATATACTTTGTGTTGCTGTGAATTTTAATAGTAATAATAATAATAATAATAATATACTTTGAGTTGCTGTGAGTTTTCCAGGCTGTATAGCCATGTTCCAAAAGCATTCTCTCCTGACATTTCACCCACATCCATGGCAGGCATCCTTAGAGGTTGCAAAGTCTGTTGGAAACCAGGCAAGCGGACTGTGTGTGTGTATATATATATGTATTTAACCGCGTTGAGTCGCCAATTTAGGCTGAGAAACAGCGGTATACAAGCGCAGTAATAAATAAATATTTATATATATCTGTGGAATAATGTGCAGGGTGGGAGAAAGAACTCCTGTCTGCTTAAGGCAAGTGTGAGTGTTGCAACTGGCCACCTTGATTAGCATTGAATGTTTGGGGAAATGTTTTTATGGGAGTGTAAGCTCATGCGTGCAGTGTTTCAGCTAAAGGTGTGAAAGGATGGTTATGTGGGCAACTGTTAAGGTCAAGTACATTATCATTTTCAAAATGCCACTTCAGAGGAAGGAGTTGTAGAGCCATTTATGATGGGAGAAGTTTGGAATATATCAATAACTGGCTTTTACTACTCAGATAGGCTTCTTTGCGGAAGGATTGGTGGTATTAATGGTTGAAGAAGCCTTGGCATGGCACGAAGAAGCAGAAACACCAAGTCTATGAACTGTGATTCTAGCCAAATCCAAGCATCTTTTCTGCCAAAAAGAGAAGAGGGCTTAAAGTGGGTTGAGGGGCATCTGGTTGTTTCCTGTGTTCTTTACACTTATATAAAATTACAGAATCATAGAATCATTGAGTTGAAAGAGACCTCATGGGCCATCCTGTCCAATCTCCTGCCAAGAAGCAGTAAAATCACATTCAAAGCACCCCCAACAGATGACCATCCATCTTCTGCTTAAAAGCCTCCAAAGAAGGAGCCTCCACCATACTCCGGAGCAAAGAGTTCCACTGCTAAACAGCTCTCACAGGAAGTTCTTCCTCATGTTCAGGTGGAATCTCCTTCCCTGTAGTTTGAAGCCATTGTCCCATGTTTTAGTCTCCAGGGCAGCAGAAAACAAGCCTGCTCTCTCCTCTCTGTAACTTCCCCTCACATATTTATGCATGGCCCTCATCATGTCACCTCCCAGCCTTCTCTTCTGTAGGCTAAACATGCCCAGCTCTTTGAGCCACTTCTCATAGGTCTTTTTCTCTTGACCCTTGATCATTTTATGTGGACAACTGTTAATGTCAGGTACATTATCATTTCAAAAATGTCCCTTGGGAAGTTTTCATTATATTATAATAAGGGCAGGTTAGCCTTTATAGGAAGGGGTTGTAGAGCCATGTATGTTAGGAGAAGTTTGTAATATGTCAGTAACGGGGCTTTTACTCCTCATATAGGCTTCCTTGAGGAAGGACGGGTGGTATTAATGTTTCAAGAAGCTTGGGCATGGCATGAAGAAGTAGAAACACCAAGTCTAAATGACAATGCATTGTGGTCCTAACCAAATCCAAGCATCTTTTCTGCAGAAAGGAGAAGGGGGGCTTAATGTGGGTTCAGGGGCGTCTGGTTGTTTCCTGTGTGCTTTACACGAGTATGACAATCATTAAAACGGGAATGTTTTCCAGCTGCTTGCACATTCTTTAAAACTTGACTGTTTTCATACAAGAAGGCTTTCATGTTGAGAATGTATACATGCCAAGTGTCTTGCCGCACAACATGCAGTTTAAATTAAGGCAAGTTGATTTAGATATTTTCCTTTTGCCCAAGGACATTGTAGCAAGTACACTTGGATTGCTCTCTTTGCTTAACAGAGACGCAGCTGAAGGAAAATAAAAGTTGGATTAATGCCTTTAACAAAGACAATTGAGTACAAGAAGCTTTCCTGGTAAAATTAGATAATAAAATAACAAAGTCTTCAATATTAAAGGTTTGTGCTACATACTTTAATGGCTGGCATTAAGGGAAGTTCTTTGAGACCTAGGTGTTGTTCGTGCTGTGTCTTGCCCAACAGTCTGCAGGGGAACATTTTTTTAAAAATATCTAATTATGTATATGATTTTAATCCATTTCAGATTCCACACCAAGGCAGACAGTTTATTCCACAAAGGATTTTAAGGCCAACCTTGGCCTATTGTAAAAGATTGGCAAGAAATGAAACCTATATTAAAAGCCAACTGAAGTGACAACACTGAGTATACTTACCTGGAATTAAACCCAACTGATTTCTGTCTGATTAACTTCTAAAGCTGGAAGTGCCATACAATGCAGTTTCAGAATGCAGAGTAACTGCATTGAATTACAATATATGGCAGTGTAGATTTATATAATTTAGTTCAATGGTGTTAAACTGCATTTTGAAACTGCATTATATGGCAGTATTGATCCAGCCTGAGTACAGATGTAAAGTATTGCAGTATGAGTTTTACTGGCAGTATGTAATACATCTGCCCCTCTCTCACCTTCACATGGAGCTGCCCTGCATTAGGGATAAGAACCAGGTTTCTTGCTGTTGATATGAGTATCAGGTTAGCTGTTGCTGTGTGCCATCATCTTAGCTTCAACTTAAGGTCACAACTGCTATTGTATGTGGGCTCTGTTTGTCCATTTTGGCCAAGTTGTCATTACCCATATGACTTTGTGAACTTTGCTTGGCTTCTGTAAATCAATGTAGATGCTTTATTTAGGTTTTATGTCACTATGGAATTATGGTTAGGTTTTGTTTAATTTATTGATGTTAGGTTTTGATGTTGTTTTCATATGTGGGGTGATTCTGTATTATTTTGCCAAGTTATTTTGGATTTTGTCCTATTGTGGCATTGAATGTTTGCCCTTTTATATGTTGGAATCCACTCTGAATCCCCTTGGGGAGATAGGGGAGAAGATAAATAAAGAAGATGATGATGATGATTATTATTATTATTATTATTATTATTATTTGAAACACAACAAGATGAGTCCACAGCTGCCACTCTGCTGGCTGTTATATTGGATCACACGTAGGACACTTCACAAGTGTCTAGGACTGTGTGATGTATCGGTGAATAATGCGTGCAGATCCCAGTAAAGTGGCCTTCTGAAGCTGGCAGGTGGTAATTTTGTCAACGCCGATTGTGTTTAAGTGCAGGCCAAGGTCTTTAGGCACTGCACCCAGTGTGCCGATCACCACTGGGACCACCTTGACTGGCTTGTGCTAGAGTCTTTATTGTTGTTGTTGTTGTTGTTGTTATTATTATTATTTGATACATAACAAGATTAGTACACAGCAAACAACATCAATATGCTGGCTTTTATATTTGATCATTCGTCGGACACTACCCAAGTGTCTAGACCTATTATTGTCATCATCATCATCATCATCATCATCATCATCATCATCATCATCATCATGTTAACAGTCTGATCCTATGCATGCTTGCTCAAAAGTAAGCCCAGTTGAATTCAACAGAGCTTCTTCATACATGCACAAGGATTCCAGTGAAATACATGAAAAGTTCTGTTGGCCCAGAAAGATTTGTCTCATCTAGCATCCTGGTTCCCATATGCATTTGAGAAGACCACAAGGCAAGGCTTGGGAACTGTCACCTTGTGCACTTGTTGTTGTTTGAGGATCACCCTGGTGTAGTATTGTATGTTTCTGGAGCATCCCACCCATTCCTTTAAATGCTGAACAAATTGTGCCAGGAAAATCCCATGATAGGTTTTCCTGAAGTCAGAATTGATTTGAAGGTGCACAACAAAAGTAACCAGTTGCATGGGATCAGAACTTGGGTAGAGTAAGTAGTAAATTAATAATTACTACCGTATCCTGTCTTACTTTTAATATACTCTAGGGGGCATACTCAGCTTTTGCACCTACAACACTCATTCTCCCAACACTCCTGTGATCAGGCAGAACGTATGTAAGTAAGGGAGAAACACACACAGACTGATCCAAGGTCACTCACTGAGTTTTGTGGTTCAGTGGGAATTTCAGTCTGAA